TACACAGCCAGTTGGAGGTGATTTAAATACCGTGGAAAGACAATGTGGCATTCTTCGAACAATTCAAAGGGGTATTGAAGCTAGAGAACAGCCTGTTGAAGTAATTACTTCATTAGAAACAAATTATTTTTGTTTTGTTTTTAGGAATGTATTAAATTAGCACATGAGTTTTTAATGCAACATAATCTCCGGCCTCCGATACATCACCCTTCTCTGATGGCTCAACCACCTGTTGATCCATACAGCCCTAAAAGTGATTAAATATATATTTAAAAATTTAAAGAGAAAATTTTTTAGCGGAAGCAGAACGTGAAGAACGGCGTGTTGGGCAACAAATAAATTCTGATTCTAAACAATTACAAGAAAATTGGGCAATTTTAAAAGAAGAATTAACTATTTGTTATCAAAAAGTTGCTGATACTCACAAAGAAATGCAGGAATTAGATCGTTCAATGGCTGAGGCACTTCTTTCAATTGGCACAGTGGAAGGGGAAATACAAACAATGAGACCTGTTGAAAATTTATTGTTAGAGGATTTAAATGTTTGTACATAAAATAATAAAGATAATCCTTTAAATATAAAATTAATTTAGTATTGACTTTATTTTTTTATGAATATTAAGTATTTTTGTTATACATAAATGGACCCAATTTTTAAATATAATTTTTAAATTAATTTTTATTTTTTAGTTGGAAAAAGTTGAATGCCTTGAATTTCGCCAAAGAGTTCATGAAGCGGGTACTCATGTTGATGATGTTAATAATTGGGCTAGTAGTATTCAAGCAATGGGAATTGAATTAAGTGATCAATTAGAACATCATATAATTGCAATTAATGAAAGATATGAAAAACTTAAAAGGGATATTGGGTGTAGATGGGCAGCACTTGAAAGGGCTTTAAATGATTTTGGGCCAGCTAGTGAAAATTTTCTTGTAGATTTGGTAGAGCCTCCTTGGCAACGTGCAATTTCTACAACAAATAGACTTCCTTACTATATTGAGTAAGGGAATTTCTTTTAAAAATTTTTATTCAATTTTTCAGTCATAGTGCAGAACACACCCAATGGGACCATCCTGCAATGGTTGACATACTTGAAAGTCTTTGTTCTTTCAATCAAGTAAAGTTTAGTGCTTATAGAACTGCTATGAAGTTAAGAGCTCTGCAAAAACGGCTTTGCTGTAATTATTGAAAATATTTTATTTTTTTTAAATTTTTATTTTTAGTGGATTTAATTGATTTGGCTGATTTAAATATGCAATATACAAAACATCTTTCTAATTATGCAGATGAAAAAAGAATTCAAGTTGAGGATGTAATTCAATGTCTTTTACCTCTTTTTGAAAAAGCTCATGAAGAACGACCTGCTTTAGTTCCAAATGTTTCTTTAGCTGTTGATTTAACACTTAATTTACTTCTAAATATTTTTGATCCGTAAATTTAAAAAAATAATTTTAATAAATAAAAAAAATTCTTTTAGATGTAGAGACGCAAAAATGCGTGTGCTTTCGTTTAAAATAGCCCTTGTTGTTCTTTGTCATGTAAACTTTTTAAAATTAATTTTAAATTATGTTTAGTTATTTTAGGCAACTTTAGAGGCTAAATATACTTATTTATTTCATCTTATTTCTAATAAAGATGGAGTTGATCATAAACGACTTGCAGTTCTTTTTTATGATCTTATTCATGTTTGTGTTAATTTTTAAATTTAAAAATACAGTCAGTCAGTTAAACCTCCTTATAAAATACATCCAATATTAGGTAGGTACTCTGAATTTGTGATATAATTGGTGTGTAGGTTATACTCCAATAATGGATACACTCCTACCTAAAATTTTTCAGTTGTGTATGTAAAATCGAAGTCTGATTGTATTAAAATCAAGAATAAATATTGAGCAAAAGTCGTTTACTTTCCCTTAATTTCCTCTTTTTAGATTCCAAAATTTCTTGGCGAAGCCGCAGCTTTTGGTGGTTCAAATATAGAACCTTCTGTCCGTTCTTGTTTTGAACATTCCAAATTCCCTCCACATATAAATTCTGATCAATTTCTTGATTGGCTTAAGAGAGAGCCTCAATCTTTAGTTTGGCTTCCAGTTATGCACAGATTAGCCTCCTCTGAATTTGCAAAACATCAAGCTAAATGTAATGCTTGTAAAATGTTTCCGGTAAATTTTATTTGAGGATTATTATTCGTAACTACATATTTTTAAAGATTGTTGGTCTTCGTTATCGTTGTCTGCGTTGTTTTAATTTTGATATTTGCCAAAATTGTTTCTTTAGCCAAAGAATTGCAAAAAGTCATAAATTAAATCATCCAATGCAAGAATATTGTACTCCTGTAAATTATTATTATTTTATTTAAAAAAATATATTTTTTTATTTAGACAAGTACTGGCGATGATGTTAGGGATTTTACTGCAATTATTAAAAATAAAGTACGTCAAGGAAAAGGAAGAATTGGTTATTTACCTGTTGAACAAATAAATGAAGGTCCACCGCTTGAATGTGCTGAACAAACACCACAAAATTCTGAAACAGAATCTATACATCAAAGAATGCATTTAATTGCTTCTCGATTAGAAAAAAGGCAAATTGAGGCAGCTGAACATTTTCCTTTGGCTGTTATTTTGCCTTCGGATGGTTAGAATTATTAGAGAATTTATTTTTAAATAAATGTCAAAATCTCTGCCTTCTTAAAATTTTTGATATTTTTTGAATTTAATTTTTTTAATAGTCAAAATTAACGGAGTCGAAAAGAACGGAATAATGGGTGTTGGTATGCATACACCAATAATGATTGATAATGAAAAAAATGAAAAAGAGAATGAAATTATTAATGGAAATAAACAACAAAGCGAGGTGGATAAATAGATTTTGTTTTAAAAACTTTTTAAAAATTTAAAGATTTCTCAAAAATTGCCAGCAATTCCCGGTTTAGCCCCAAATTATCAATCACCAGAAATTCAAATTTATCACGATCAACAAAGAAATGCACAAATTTCTGCGGTTGTTTTAGCTGCCCAACAGGAAGTTAAATCCCCTAGTCAATTAGTTACTCAAGTAGATCAAGCAAGTAAAGAAGAATTGGGGCAATTATTACAAAAATTACAATATGAAAATATGTAATGAATAAATAAATTAAAATTAAAAAGAATTTAATTATAATTTTAAGAGAATTAAAAAGAAAAATTGAGGAAAGAAGAAAGGCGATTTATTCAACAAATAATTTTTCTCACCAAGCAACAACTTCAACACCAAATTTACGGACACCTGTAAATAATGAAGATTTGGAAAAAATTGAGTAAGTTTATTTAGCAATATATTTTAAGAATTTTTATTTTATTAGAACTGATTCTCAACAAAAACAAATATATATTGAAGATGCACACAAAATTCGTGCAAAAAGTATTGGAACTGGTATATACTTAATTAAATAATTTTTTAAATAAAATTATTTATTTTTTAGTTGGCCTTCCAACAATATTTTCACAGCAAACAATGTTACCTCCCCCACGTATTCAACGTCCATTTCCAGTTCCTGGTTTGTCTCAAATATAAATAAAAAAAATAATTATATACTATTTAGCACTTCATCGTCAATATTCATTAGGTATACAAACATCAGGTAATTTCTATACAAAAAACAGTTAAATAAATATATTTATTTATAGATCCAATAACCGAACAAACAAATGATCATCTCCAACAAATGACAGTTCTTGTTGAGGCTCAAAAACTTAGATTACACCAAAAAAGATTAGAAGAAAGAGGAATGGTACTTGAAGAACAAAATAAACAATTACAACAACAACTTGATAGATTACAAAAATTAATGGAAAAAGTAAAAAAAAATATTTATTTTTAAGAAATTAATTGAGATTGTTGAAGGAATTGAATATATTAACGAGATTATTTTAAAAAATTTTGAAAGTTAAATCAAAAATTTTGAACTAGAAAAGTATGAAAGAGAGTCCCTCCAGCGATTTCCTTGCAGTTATTACTAGGGGCTTTCTCTCACTCCCCCCTCCCAATCCTCCTTCAACCCCCGCCATTTAACAAATTATTTAATTTTAAATAAAATATTTTTTATTTAGAAAAATGAAATTATTTTAACACCAACACAAAAACGTATAGATGAAGTCCAAACAGGTATAGTCTCCTCTACAGATGCAGAGGATACAGATATGGAAATGTTGGGAATTAATAGAAAATCTGTTGGGGGAGGATTAAGTTCTGGACAAATTGGAACAGAAATACGTAGAAATAGAATGGATAGGTTTTTGAAAATGATTTTTTCTTTAAATTTATTTTTTATTTAAAGATTAAGAGAAACAGTAAATGAATTAAATAAAGCAATGGAACATTTTGTACAATTTACTCAGCATTGTAGTGCTGTAAGTGGAACAACCGCAGCTTTAAGAAGAGATATTGAAAATGAAAATGGTGATGATAATGAAGAAGAAAATGATGAATTAGATAGTGGAACTGCTGATCAAGATTGTTTTGAGGAGAAAAAAGATTAAAAAAATGAAAAGAAAAATATTTAAAATATTTAATTGTTATTTTTTGTTAAAAATATATTTATATATTTTATTTAAATTTAAAATTAAATAAATAAAGAGAGAGATAAATTGGAATTGAAATAGGTATAAATGAATTTTACTAGTCCTGATTTTCTTTTTAATTTATAGGCTTCAAGTATTCTTATCTACTCTCTATTTATTTAATTTTAAAACTTAAAACTAATTTTTATTTTTAGTATGTATAGTTTTTACATAAACATTTGTTTTGATTTTTTTCTCATAATATAATGTTATATTTATATTTTTTTGAAATTAAATAATAAATATTTGTTTTTTTAATTAATTATTTTTATTAAAATTTATTTATATACAACAACAACAACAATAATAAATTAAAACATTTAAAAATAATAAAAACAGAATTAATTTTCTTCTTTGTCTTTTTAACAATATAAAAATCTAAATTTGTTTGTATTTTTTTATGTTTTTCTTTTTCTGTTATCCACCTTTAAAAATTACTTTTTAAAATATTTTTAATTAATTTTTCTTACTTTATTTCCTTGTAATTGTTTTTCCAAAGCTTTTTCTTTATAATAAGCTTCCCAACTTGGATATATTCTTGGCTCTAATGTTCGTTGTTTATCATAATAATAATTTGGATATTTATATGTTGTTGTTCTAATTGGTGTTTTTAATGTTGTTGTTGTTGTTATTTGTTGTTTATTATACCAATTATTTGTTTTCCTTCTTGTTGTTAATTCTGTTGTTGTCGATGTTGTTTTTGGTCTTTCTGTTGTTGTTGTTGTTATTCTTCTATAATTTAAAGGCATATAACAGAGACCGTCATAACAAGAAGGTTGATCTTCTGGACATTCACTACAACGTTCTGATTCTCTTGCTGCATAAACATATGCTGGATACTTTAATTTATGTAAATGTATTTTTTAAAATTATAAATAAATAAATAACCGAATAAAGACCACCATTATTTAAAGGCATTACTCTATTCCCTTGTGGATTATAGTGACAAACAAAACTTTAAAAAATTAATTTTTATTCACATATTTAAATATTAAAAACATACACAGCTCTAGCGTAAGCACCAACCCCATTAATTCCATTACATTGTGCATAACCACAACCAATTAAATTTGTTTCGGCCCAAACCATCTAAAAATATTTTTAAATTTTTATTTAAATAATTATTTACTTGTATATAATGCCCACAACAATGTTTATATCCTGTAGAACAAGCACACCAAGGATTATTTATTTCAATATACCAACGTTGAATTGCATCAGAATAATCATAATAAGGGGCTGCCCTACACAAGAAAATTCAAAAATTTTGAATTAAAAAAATATTCTTTTTTTCTACCAAATATTTTCTCCAACATTACTTGGACGATTACGAGAATGATGAAAATCACCTTAATAGAAAAATAATTAAATATTTTTTAATTAATTACAAGTATCAGCATGTGATTGGGCACTTCTTGCCAATTCATTTGACCAATAAACCATTCTCATATTTTTTGCTGGAACCTTTTTTGAAAAAATTTCTTTAAAATAAATTTAAATTTAAGGTTTTTACCATTCTTCTATATCTATTATGTTCATTAGTTATCCATATTTGTTTGTGATAATCTGGAGAAATTGAAGCTATTAATGATGGACTACGCCAATTATTATATCCACCATAACCATAATATGGCTATAAAATGAAGAATTATTTAATTTTACAGAAAAATTTGTGTAAAATAAATAGAAATATATATTTGTACAAATTATTATTTTTTAAATTTATTTAAATTAATTTTTAAATTTACTAACACTCCTTTTTTCTCTAGTATAATTATTCATCATTATTTCACCATCTTCTACCTCTGGAATATCCGGCTCATAACCTGGAGGTTCATTAATTCTATGATTTGTTGGCTCACTATGTGATGTTACTGCTACATATATTTAATTAATTTAAATTTAAAAAAATAATTTATTTAATTTTAACCTTCAGAAAATGGTGTATTTATTTGATTTTTAATATTTAAATGAAAAGCTTGAGAAATTAAAAATAATTGCAAAATAAAATAAATATAAAAAAATAAAGTCATTATTATTACTTTAATTTAAATTAATTTATATCTTTAATTGGGAATAAAAAAATAATGAAATTAATTTTTTATAAACATTTTTATAATAATTATTTTATCACGTTTTTCTAATTTAATGAATTAATACAATTATAATATTTAAATATATATTACAACAAAAATAGTATTTTCTTTGTTTAATTTACAAAATTTATATATTAATATATCCAAAACACACACACAAATTAAATTAATTTAAAAATAAATTTTTAATTTCGGATCATTTCACAAAAAATTAATTTAATCTTTATAACTAAAAAAATAAAATTTAAATATTTTACTAATTATTTAGAAATTAGAAAAAATTATTTATAATTAATTAATAAATTAATTTTTTGCAATATATGTAAATACTTTAAAAAAATTTATTTTTACAAAAAATTAATTTATTTGTGTTTTGTTAGTCTCTTTTAATTCTGCAAACTTACCACCTAATTATTTTCTCTTTTCTCACATTTTATAAACGGAAATGATTTTTTGTTTTAGTCTTTTTGATGCGCAAAAGAAACTTTTTTTAGAGATCAAAAACTCTTTTTTTTGTTAAATCATTTATTTATTTTTACCTTATGTATAATTTAATTATAATTAAATTTCCTAAATCATTCCGTATCAAATTAAAATACACAATTAATGTAAAAGAAGTTAAAATGATGAAATTTTAAATAAAAAATTTGATATTAAATTTAAAATTAAACGGGTAACCCTTTAAATGTACATATATTGGAAAGTATTAATTTAAATAATATAAATATACAAATGTATAGTCTAGAATCCTCGTTATTTTTTTTTTGCTTTAATCTGCAGATTTTTATTATCTAGCATTTTTATGATAATAAAAATGTCTTAGCATTTTTATTATCAATTCTTCTCTTTCTTGTTATTTAGCATTTTTATTATCAGCTTTTAAAGATTCAATGGATTAAAATAATTTTTTAAATAAATTCGGGAAATGGGTCGTTTTATATAAAAACTTTTATTTTTATTTTCTCGTTAAATAATTAAAAAATGATTCTTTTTTGTTATTTAGCACTTCCTGTCGTAATTCTCCTTTTATGGAAAAAATACAAATAAAGAATAATTTACTGACATCGGAAATATTTTTTAAATAAATTTTTATTAAAAAGGATAATGCTTGATTAAATTATGTTTTTTATTAATTAATTTAATTAATTAGTATATTTAATTCTTTTTTTAAATTTCTGATTTAATTTTAAATTAAAAATAGACTACCTAAATTTAAATATTTTGAAATATTTTAAAATTTTTGTACATAGTGTGTCAAATGAATTATAATTAATTTATTTAAATAATTAAATTATTGTAAAAATAAAATAAACTCAACATCTCAAATAAATTATAAATATAAATTCTCAAAAAAATGACAAATATATGAACAATAATTATGGATAAAGTATCAAATCATTTTTAAGTTGTTTAAATTCTTAGGAAGTTTTAATAATTCTGAATATGATGTTAAGTCTGTACAGGGTTTGGATTTTCTATAAATTAAGAAGTTTTGTACTATAAATTAGGATGTTTTGTATATGTATTTTAAATAAATAATTATTCATCAAAACAGATCCGATAAAGATCTCTTCTTTATTGGATTAAAAATCTCTTCTTTATCTCTTCTTTATTGATGCTCACAGAAGTTAATATAAAACAAAAAATGGATAAAAACGTTAATAAATAATTATATATACCAAAGCAATTTCATTTATTTATAATATCCAGAAAAACTTTCTGATAATCATGTTATTGAAAACTTAACAAATGTTGATGGAATCCATAGCTCAATATTCAATATCTTTAAGGATTGCCTAAGAGAAATAATAAAAGATCAGATTCCTACTCAAAAATATTACCACTAACCAGTGGGATTTCTATATCTATTTATCACAACATAAAAATACCAATCATGTATCACACACAGAAAACAAATAATTACAAGATGACAGATTAAAAATATAGAAATTAAGAATATTGAAATATTAGAAACTCGATTTTCAGGATAATTCTTCTCTTTCTTTGCACAAGTATCGTCCTAGCGTGTTATGGATGCTCACAGAAGCTCAGCCACGGCTACTAAAAATTCAAAAATTGTTTTATAAATAAGTCTCAATCCTTACCGTCATGGTCCGCCTTTTGCTCGTGTCTTGCCAATCTCATCACGGACACTAAAAACGAAATTTTTTACAATAATGTAGAACAAAAAATTCACCGTCGGAGAACATCACGGGTACGACTAACATCCTTTTCATTCACAATCCCACTGCGGCAGCCAGCTCAAGAATAGTTTCAAGGAGAAGAAGAAACTGCGAACGGCGATTCAGAATATCGTAACGAGTACTTCTCAGACTTTTGCAGACCTTCACAACTCGGTTCAAGCTGCAAATGAAAGAAATAGATTATCTTTACTGAAACTTTCCGGACCTTAGCGTTCTTCCCAGACATACGACGGCCAAAAATAGAAGCAGCTACATAAGTCCCAGCTTGATTCATACCAGCTCTACTGTGAACCAAAGTTGGATACAACACCGACCGTTCACCTTCTGACCCATGTTGAGCATGTCGTTGACTTGCTGAATCGTTCTCTAGCGACCAAATAAAGTGTAGAAGATCAGACAAGTCTTTGTAGTTCATTGGACTGAACCGAGGGTCATCCTAGAAAAATTAAGGGTTACTAGAAGCTAATCAAACAATCGAAAATAAGATAAACACACCGTCCAGTTTCGACACACTACAAGCTAGATGACACGTTCATAACGTTTCTTTCCCTCCTTGCGTGATATTTTCAGTTGATAATCTGTCCAGACCAATTAACATCTGTGCCAACATCCAAGGTTGTGATTCCGAAGTTGTTGACCTTTAAAAATAAAATTTTGTTAAAGAACAAACCCCGAAAAATTATTTAGAATAATTAAATTTAAGTCCTCACTTTATATGTTTCGCCTCTGCTCCTGTTGAAGTAGTAGTCGCATTCGCTTTCGTGACCAAGGTTGACGAGACAAACAGCAACGTACACATTGAACTCCCACAACATGCGCAGCCTAAAGTAAAATTTAAAGCAAAATAAAAAGTGACAAATTGTATTACCTTGCGGAGTAAGAATAGAAGAGCCACGCGTGTTTTTACGGATGATGGTTAATTACGTGTCCGGAAAGTTGGGGAGTGGACATTTGGGGAGTGGACAATTGGGGAGTGGAAATTTGGGGAGTGAGCGGACATTTGGGGAGTGGACAATTGGGAGTAAACATTTGGGGAGCGAGGATTTAAAAAAATAATTTAAAAATAGATTTTTTGGACAATAAAAATAATTGGCTGTAGTGTAGTTCACCGGAGGTAAAAGTTCGGGACGTGACATATGTCATTCGATTCGTCTCGGCGAGCTGAGTCGAACGGTACCACTCCCAATTTCAGGAAATGATTCTGGACCGAGTTATAGGTCCCGAAAAATCGAAAAACCAAAGAGGGGACCAAGCACTTTTTTGGGGTGAAAAATTCGAAAAGGCAAATTATACCTCATTCGAAAGAGCTTCTCGAGCTGAGTCGAATGACACCAAAATCAACAAAATCCGACTTGATTTGACAAAGTTATGACCGTTTGTTTTAGCTCCTTACCTATAGCATCTGTGGATTTTTGCTGCTACGGAGGCCCCAAATACGTCCAGAGCAAGGAAAATGGGAATAGGATCATGTTACGAGCCCAAACCCAGCGCCCGTAGACTCCCCGCGAGGCGCGTGCCGCAAAACCCCGCGCGAAGCGCGGGGTTTTGCACAAGCGCCTCGCCGACGCTCCATAGGTTTAGGTTTTTTGTGTTATAACTTTGTTTAATCTTGTTCAATCAAGGTGATTTTGGTATCATTCGACTCAGCTCGTCGAGCTCTTTCGAATGAGTTATTGTTTGTATAAAAAATTTTTTATTCCAAAAATCGCCCCTTTGGATCTTCGGTTTTTAGGGGTCTATATCTCAGTCCAATCAAGTCGGATTTTGTTGATTTTGGTGTCATTCGACTCAGCTCGAGGAGCTCTTTCGAATGAGGTATAATTTGCCTTTTCGAATTTTTCACCCCAAAAAAGTGCTTGGTCCCCCCTTTGGTTTTTCGATTTTTCGGGACCTATAACTCGGTCCAGAATCATTTCCTGAAATTGGGAGTGGTACCGTTCGACTCAGCTCGCCGAGACGAATCGAATGACATATGTCTCGTCCCGAACTTTTACCTCCGGTGAACTACACTATATCCAAATAATTTATACACTCGTGAATGTATTTTTGTGGAGTTTCAAAGGATAAAATTCAATTCCCCCTCCTTTTTCCTTCCTCAATGTATTAAAAGAGGTCAGACAATCTTAGGTTATACTAGAACTCGTCGAGCTATGTCGAATGACACCAAAATCAAAAAAATCCGACTGTAGTGAGTATACCTGTGGTAAAAGTTAGGGACGTGACATATGTCATTCGATTCGTCGCGGTAACTGAGTCGAACGTACCTCTCTCTACTTCAGGAAATTATTCTTGGCCGAGTTATAGGTCCCGAAAAATTGAAAGTTTTGAGAAAAAGGAAGAAATCTTGCCCATTGGCCTTCCAAAATCCACAAAATTTTCACCTGCGGCGCTAAAACAACAGTATCAACTACCGGTACTCAATTAACGCAATCGAGAAACGAAGATTTTACAGATGTTACAGACATCAAATATCCTTAAAATCTTTGAAACTCCACAAAAATACATTCACGAGTGTATAAATTATTTTTATTGTCCAAAAAATCTATTTTTAAATTATTTTTTTAATCATCGCTCACCAAATGTCTACTCCCCAACTGTCCACTCTCCAAATGTCCGCTCACTCCCCAAATTTCCACTCCCCAATTGTCCACTCCCCAAATGTCCACTCCCCAAATCTCCGGGAGCCGTTAATTAATATAAAAAGTGACAAATTGTAAAGCAAAATAAAAAGTCACTTTTTATTTTGCTGCCTTTTATAGTACTGTAATGATAATTTTCTCAATAAAGAACTAATCTGACGATCAAATGTCTAATATTTGATCAAATGTCGAATATCTCCTGTCGAATATTTATAAGTCCAAATAAACCGATATTTAACTAGAATACAGAGTCGCTAACCAGTTTTTTAAAATTTGGACCGGAAACCCAAAATATGGAATTGGCAAAATATAGGTCCTTTCCCTTTTGCAAGACGTTTAGATTTTGCAGCTCCATGACAATTGTACAGTTGACAAGTGTAAACTATTATTTTTACTTATGAAAAGCATGCTTTTCATTTTTGAGAGGCCATGCTTTGCGCACTAACGTATAATTATGGTCAAATAGTGGACAATCGACATATTGGCCTGCGCATAACAGTCGCGCTATAGTGACCCGCGCCATAGTGTTCATGTCCCTTGTGGAATTTTCTCGATTCTATTATTAGATCTACCTACTATTTTTTATCTCTTTTTTAACTTTTTGAATTATTACATTTTATATTTTTAGAAATTTATCAAAAAATGGATACTTCTAAAGAACCTGAGGTTTTTAATTAAAAATTTAATTAATTAATATTTAAATTTTAATAAGGAACAAAAAGAGGATTTAAGTCCCGATAGAGATGGTACAATTATTAAATCAATTATTGTTTCTGGGGAAAAGTTTAATTGTCCAAGTGACCATTCTCCTGTTAAAGGTTTTTTAAAAAAGAAAAATAATTTTAAAATATTTTTTAAAGTCCATGCTGTTGGTTCTGACTTAAATGGACGTGTATTTTACGACAGAGAACTTGAATATATTATGGGGGAAGGGTTTGAACATCAATTACCTGAGGGTGTTGACAAGTAGTGAATTATTTGAAAATAAATTTTTTTAATTTTTAATTAAATTTTAAGAGCACTTCGCCGTATTAATAAAGGAGAAAAATGTAAAGTTACGTTAAAAGGACGTTTTGGTTATGGGACTCAACCACCCTCGGAATTTGGATTAAATGCTAATGAAACAATTATTTTTACTTTATTTCTTAAAGATTTTGAAAAGGTTTTTTTTCTGATAAATTTTTTTAAAATTTCTTTTTAGGTTAAAGCAAGTTGGGAACTTTTGGATGAAGAGAAGTTGATTGAGGCTCTTAAATTTAAAGAACGTGGAACTAAATTCTTTGGAGAGGGGAAATATCAACTTGCTTTGTCTAAGGTAATCTTTTTAAAATTTTATTGAAAAATTAAAATAATTTTTAAAAAATGGACATCTCTTTGTTACGGACACTTAATTCTGGCCATAATATTTTAATTTTTTTTTATTTTAGTATAATGCAATTGTTTCGCTTCTTGAATTTGCTCGCCCTTCAAAGCCAGATGATGAAGAAGGCAAACAATTGACTGAAAAATATGAACAAACACTTATTGCTGCTTGGGTATTTTTAAATATTTTTTTAAATTTTAAATATTTTTTTGAAGTTAAATATTGTTTTGGTAAATTTAAAAATGGGAGAGAAGGCGGAGGCAATAAGGAATTGTGATAAAGTTTTGGAGAAAAACCCTAAAAATGTAAAGGCTCTTTATCGAAAAGCACAAGCTCAACAAATGTTTAAAGACTTTGAAGAGGCTATGGAGACTTACAAAATTGTGCTTGAATTAGAACCTGAAAATAAGGTGTTTTTATTTTTTAAATTTATTTCTTTTTTGAAAAATTTTAAAATTTGGCATTAATTATAGTTTAGAAGTTGTATTTTTTGGACCATTATTAAGGGCGTACTCAAGGGAATTTAGGGAGCATTCTCCTACCGGAAATGGGAAAAATAGGAAAAAAATTATGGAGAAAATGATTACAAAGTGTAGGTATAGTTTAAAAAAGATAAATTGTTTATGTCGAATATTGACGTTTTAAACGCCAATTATTGCGTTTAGTTTTGACGTTCAGAAAGTCAAAGGTTTGGCGAATCTCCCATTATTCTCCTCCCCTAATTTCAAAATAATTTTAATTGTTTTCAGGCTGCAATTCAACAAATTCAAGAATGTCGACATCAATTGAATGTTTTAAACGAGCGGGAACGCAAGAAATTCAAAGGATTGTTTGATCGTCTTGCTAATGAAAACCAGGAAGAAGGTAATAAAATGGAAGAAATTTGACAAGAAAATAAATATTTTGAAATTGTTTTTTGTTAAAAAATATATTATTTTGATTATATTAAAATTTAAGTAAGATTCTCATAAAAATGTTTTTCTTAGTAAAGACAATAATTAATTTATTTTTATCTTTTAAAGAATTATTTTTGTTTATATACATATAAACATTTATTTATTAGTAGAGTATTTAAAATTTGAAAGTTAAAAATTAATAAGAAAATATAAAAGAAAAGTAGACATAAGGAAGTGGGAAAAGTGGAGTAAAATTAATTTAGTTTAAGTTTAATTTAAAGAATTAAAACAAAATTTTTGCTTTTTATTTTAAAAAATTAAAATTAATTCATAATTTAAACTACAGTAAATAAAAAAATCAAAATTTAGGAATTAGATTTCTTCAAGGGTAATTTTCTCATTGTTTGACAAAATGTTCTAACCGTTTCAGCAGTTGAAACGCCGTCACGTTCAATAAGAATTCCTTTTTAATTTTCTTTAAAATTATTATATATTATTTACCTGAAGTTATTCCTCTAATTGTTGAGGGAGGTTTAACTGAAATTGTTGACCCAGTTGATGTAGAGGGGGAACCAGTAATTATTTGGTGACTAGTTGGGACTAGACTTGAATTATTATTTTGATGTTCAGAAGGCTTTAATTAAAAATAAATATTTTTAATTTTTAAATTAAATTACTCCAACATTTGTAATGGGTATATTATTTATTGTTGTTTGTTGTCCACCACCAATGTCAGTACTATGTAAATTTAATTCGTGATTAGATGCTGCATTAGAAAGAGTAATTAAATCTCTACATCCATTTAATGAAACACTTTAAAAAAAAAAATAATTTTTATTTTTTTTTGAAAAAGTATTGCCTCATGTGAATACTTGGTGCGATAACCCCTCCAAGTTGTTGAGCACAAAGGACAGCATCGTGAACCGAAGGAAAGAAAAAATGTTTTGGAACGTGTTCAAAAGAGCTACTCAACTATAATTAAAATATAGACTAATTTTATTTTAAATATTTTTTTGCCTTAAACCAATTTCGAATAGTTGAATTAACTGAAGCTAAAAGTAAACGACATTTTTTATCTGCTAATTCTTCAAATAATTCACGTATTACATTAATTGCCTAAAAAGATTTTTGTTTCTTTTTTAAATTTTAAATTGCCTGTCCATCAATATAAGGAACAGAAGAGAAATCAATTATAAGTACTTTAGTTATTAAATTATTATTATTTGATTCCAACACAGCCCCTCCAGGATTTTCAAGATTTGGCTAAATAAAGAAATTTTAAATGAGAAGAATTATTTATTTTTAAACCACAAAATCTCCACTAATTAACAAAGTTGAACGCATTTGTATAGAATCTTTATTGTGAATAGAACCACTAACTATTTGGGCATTTGTACTTTTCATGCTTTTCATACTTCCTGTTCTAGTACCGATTCCGATACCCAAAAGTTGACTTAAAATTAAACAAGAAATTTTTATCTATTATTTTTCATTACCCTTTAATTTTAGCTGCCGATTCTCTAATACAAGCTTTGAAATATGAAGAATTGTGAAAAAGAATTGGAGCCTCAAAACGAACAACCGAAACCTTTTTAAAATTAAAAATAATTAATTATTTAAATATTCTCTCTCTACTACCCCAGCCTCATCCATTAAATCAGAACCTCCATAATAACAACGTTCAGCATAATAAGCACCCGAACCTGTAACATTTGTTAATTGTTGAAGACGTGGCCTAAAATAATTATTTTAATTATTAAATTCTCTCTTTTTTCTTTAACCATTGAGCACGAACAATAATTGTCCCAGCAGAAAGAATAACAGAAACAAAAAGTGCTTGTGATAAATTTGATGAAAAAAGGGCCATTAATGCTGAGAATATAAAGCTTAACTGTAAATTATTTAAGGAATATTTTTGAAAAAGAAAAAATTATTACAACGTCAAGACGTGAAATTTCCCATAAAAGAGGTAATTTAGAAATGCCTGTAAACATTGGACAAATTTCTGTCAATAAAATACATGATAGAACACACTAAAAGAATTTTTTTTAATTTAAAGATTCTTTTTTTCTGCTTACAATGGGTAATGACTGAAAAAGTTTAGATGACCAAATAATTATTGGAATTAAACTCAAAACTAAAGAAATATTAGCCAAAATAGTTTTGGCTCCAGCGCGGGTACCAATTGAAGTTCTGAGTGGTGAATGACCGGGAGGTATTGCAGACACAAATGTTGACAATAAATTAATTAAATTTAGTGAAATAAGTTCCTAAATAATTTAAAAGAAAAAATATTTCCTTTAAAAAAACTTGTCTTTCATCTATTTTATATTTATTTGTTTTTGATAATAAATTAGCACTTCTTAAATGCAATACAAAAACAAAAAATGCTAGTCCAATTGAATCAGTAAATAATTGGCTAATTAATGAACGTGAGGGTAATGACAATAAAAATAATCTTTTAAAAGAAATTAATTTTAACAAAAAAATATTTTTTATTTAGAGACTTTGATTCAGAAAAATTAATTGTATCCAATTGCCATTTTGTTTTAATATTTAAAATATTTGAAAGTAAACTAGCAAGAATTATCTAAAAATTAAAAATAAATTCTCTCTCAAATTTAAAATTTATTTACAAGTAAAAATTCAGAAGAAATAGCAGAACGAAGACGAAAACGTGTTAAAGGTCCAATTATTTGTCTTGTAAAAATAATTAAAAATATACAAAGTAAAGAAGCAGCTAAAGTATTTAAATTAATTGCATCAAAACATTCCCAAATTGAAGGTAAACACTAAAAAATAATTTTTCCTTTTTAATTTAATTTATACAAACATTATTTTCTGATTCAATAATATTATTTTTAATTATTTTAGTAGAATTTAGAAAAGAGGAAGATAAATTTTGATTAATTAATGTTTGGTTAATTAAATTAAATGAAGTTTTCTTTGAATTATTTGGAACGTTTAAACGGCGATAATAAGCCCTTAAATTATTTTTTAAATAATTTTTTGGTACTTATGAAGATGGAGGTGCCCTTTCTGCGGACTTTTTTTGCGGACTTTTCTTCCTTTTTAAATGTTTTGGTTGTTTTGCTTTCAGCAAGTTTTGCTCGTAGCAATTAACTGTCAAAAGATTATTAAAAATTTTACTTTAACTAAATTTTCAATTACCCGCTGATGAATTTCGAAAATGGATCACTGATCTCGGAATGCTTCATAGAAAAAGAATATGTTAATGTAGAACAGAAATGCGGTAATTTCAAACATTGCCCCCCCCCCGTTATTTTTATTACCTAAGATTGTACAAAATGGTCAGATTTCCTTCCTCTCTTTCCTCTATTTGAGCTTGGCATATTCAAACAAGAGATATTGTTGATAAAGAGAAGATTAAATTTAATTGAGTTGTTCAATACTGAGTTCAATTTATTTTTTCAGTTGTTCAATATTTTTAAATAGAAGTAAGAATGTAATGTTTTTACACACACATTCATAATGTTATACACCAAATCAATTTTATTTAATTCTTTTTTTTGTTTAAATTGTTTTCGAAGGCAAAAAAAATAATCTTCTCTTTATCAATGTCTCTTGTTTGAATATGTCAAAGGGCAAATAGAGGAAGGGGAGGAAGAAGAAAATCTGACCTTTATGTACAATCTTAGGTAAGAAAAATAATAAGGGGGAGGGCCTTTGACAGTTAGTTGCTACAAGTAAAATATGTAAAGGAAAGAAAGAAAAGTCCGCAAAAAAAAGTCCGCAGAAAGGGCACCTCCATCTTCATAAGTACCAATTTTTTAAAATTTTCTCACCAAAGAATACAAGGAAAGGATGTTGTAGTTGCTGGAATTGAATTACTAGCAATTGCAATAGATGCTTGCTTTAAAAAGAAATTTAAAAAAACAAAATTCAAAAATTATAAACTTTAATAGTTAATTGATCTGCTTCACAAATTCTATTTGATTTTAATTGAATTATATTACCCAATTGATTAAATACAATTCTTGTACCTAACCCAAAAGAAAATCCAGCAATTATTTGTTCAGAGAATAAACCAAAAAGAAAATCCAAACGAAGTAAATAAATTGCTGACTTTTAATTAAAATAATTTAATTAATTTTTAAAGTTTAAAATTCTCAAAAATTGTCCTCAGAAAACTTTTTGTAGTTCAGGATATTATCAATTTTTTTTAAAAAGTTTACTCGGATCCGACTATTACTTCCAAAGTTTTTTTTTTAATTTTATTTTTCTTTGGATTAATTTGAAAATTAAAAAGGATTCACGGTGTTAAAAAATATTTATTTTTTAAATTTAATTTAATAATTATAAAATTTACATTAACAATTGCACATAAAATAATTGCTGTAGAAGCTACCTCTAATGGACCATAAACAATATTACTTCCCTCTACAGTAGTATTTCTCTCAATAATATTGCCTAAGAAAAAACAAACAGCTAAATTTGTGCCTTTAAAATACATATTTTTTAGGAAAATATTTTATATCTTTTATTTTTTACCCATAAAACTAAAATTTGAAGTCCCAAAAAATAAATAAACAAGGGAAGAATAAAAAGTTGTGTAAAGACCACAAATTGGAGGTAAACCAGCTAAGAAAGCCATTGCTAATCCTTCAGCAGTTCCATGTAATGATAAAGCTAGCCCTGCACGGAAATCTCCAAATAAATCCTTAAAAGGAATTTAAAAGGAAAATAATTGATGATTTTAAATTTATTTAAATTTAAGTAAAATATATTTTTAAAAAATAATTTTCCAACTTTTCTAAAGCTATATCGTTGTAAAACACGAATTATTGGCAAGTGAGTAGTTGGACAATGTTTTGAAGACCAAAGATGATCCCCTTCATCTGCATTACTTAATTGATATCGAGGCAATGGCAAATTTGAAACGCCTCCACTTCCACTATGTGCACTTGCCAAACTAATATGTTGACGGCTGGGCTTTTGCCTTTGTTGTGGTTGTTGGGGAGGGATTTGGGGACGAACAACAATGGAGATTGATCTTTGGGCCTTTTTAAAATTAATTTATATTTAATTAATTTTATTTTTTACAGCTCTTCTCCAACAAAGCAAAGCACCGCCACATAGATCATTAGCAACTGCTTGAGGTTGATTTTCCACAATTGAATCCTAAAATAAAATTAGTTTTTGATAAAAATGGAATTATAAATTATGTATGAACTTGCCAATGAGTATCTCCTTTGTTTAGTTTTCCGTTCGCTCGAGAAATTGAATTTTGTGTCAAATTCATCCTGTTTTTTTAAAAAAAATTACAAACACTTTAAATGTTTTTAATCCTCTAAGATTTAAAATCAAAAAGGAGATACTTGATTCATTGGAGCACGCCGTATACCTCCAAGTAAATGTTGATTTGAGGAATCCATTAAAAATAAACTTTATTATTTAAAATAGTTTAACAAATATTTTAACGTTGTTCTTTCATTTAAATAATATTAAATAATTATTTTATCCAATAATTGTAGAGAAGAATACCATAGTGATAGAGGTAAATCCCTTTTTAATCCATCCGTTCATTTAATAAAAAAAGAAGTCCCTCATCCATAAAATACATTTTACTTTCTCTTTGCTAGGCGACCATTTGCCAAAGAATATAAGCCAAAATTAATATTTTACATTACTTATGGAATGAAGATAAAATGCTTGCTTATAGGATTAAGATTATCAAGAAAAAATTTTCTGAATTAACCCAAACTTTGAGGCATGTAAAAAGGGAGGGATGCTTTGTAGTTGTTAGAATGGCAGTGATGGGTATTGAAACTCTAAGAGTAAGCTATAATTTCGTTTAGAATTCACTAATTGTTAAAACAAGCTTCCTTCGAATTTAAATAATTATCCAAATATTTTTTTAAATAAAATCTAGATGTTTCGGTGAAAAGGAAAATAAAAATGAAGGCCGATAACAGGAAAGTACCGATGTTTCTATCTAAAAACTAAAAGAAGAGTCCAAACAAGTGACGAGTTGTCAAATGCATGGGAAACTAAGCAAAAAGTTTTTAAATTTTCTTTTAAAATTCTTTGAAGACTAAATTAGACTAATTGTAAGTAATAATAAATGTAATATTATAATAATAATATTTTTATTATTAAAATTAAACAAAAAAAACATAAATTTGAGCACTTTAAAATAATAATTAAATTCTAAACAAAAAAATCAAAAAAGGCTGAGCGGCGATATGGAAAAATCAAAAGCAATTCTTGGATTGCTATATATCATTGTTTATCTGAACAAGATGAAAAAAGGATAAACTCTAATCTTTTGGAAGTTCTCCTAATAAACGATGAAGTAGGTGAACAACTAACTCATAGGTAAACATTGTTATTGCTGTATTTGGAGCTGACCGCAATAACTAAAAAATATAAATTCAGTTTAAATATCCTGCATTACTTCCCACCCTCCACTCAGAAATTAATATAATTTACATAAAACTAGTAAACGCAAATTGGTATTAAAAAATAATAAAAATGGGAAAGCTAAATACTTTTGCACCGAAAAAAATACAAAAGTTATTGAAAATCCTGCTTATAGTCCGAATTATGATTTAAAAATACCTGTACACTAAGACCACGATAAAAAGGTTTAATGTATCCTTCACGCCAGAGAGTTCTAACCAACTGTCGTAGCCTTAATTGATTTCCTTCTTCTCTTAAACGCGTCCTAATAACTTCTAAAATATTTAAAAGTAATTGAAATAATATTTATTAAACCATGTGGATAAGCTATAATAACAGCAAATGTTTTTGCTATACCACCAGCCAACATAAATTGTAAAAAAGCTTGGTGTTGTTTGTCTGCATATGAACCAAGAAATTTCTGATCCGGATCACTTATTTTACTTAATAAAATCCAAAATAACTAAAAATTGTTAAAGTTTTCTTTTACCTTCTCAAATTTTCGTAAATAACAAATTGTATAACTGTTTCAAATATTCCCAAATAAGATCCTGTCACACCCTAAATATTTAAATTTAATACATATATTCACAAAAAGGAATTACCCTCCATAACCCTAAAACTCCGTCACGTTTAATAATTCGCAAGAAACATTCTTTAGCACCTAAACGTCCATGATGTAATTGAAGACGAGTTTTAACTACCCAAATTGGATTTATTAATGTAGCTGCTATTAGACCTGTTATTTAATTCAAAATTAGTTTGTTTCAAAAGAGAAATTTATTTAAATACTATAAAAATAACTGTCAGAGAAATGTAAAAATGCGGGTAAGTGTAGTTTACGTGACACCTTTTTTTCACATTTTTCCATTTCCCTAAAAAAATGAGGAAAAAGTGCTTTTCCGATATTTTATCTTATATTAAGAAATTCTACCCCCTATGCCGGCAGAGAACATATGGATAAAAGCCGAATTTGGAACAAGCCACCTTCTGTCTATCTCGTCATCAGTTTCATCTCTGCTGCAATAATTATTAGAGATGCGCTTTGTAAGAGAATAAAAACAAAAATAAATAGCTCTGAAAAAGCAAATTTAAAGGAATAATTTAGAAAAAAATTTACTTCGAAGGGGTAACACCAATAAGATTAGGTAATAGGCCTTTAAAAAGTGCAGCAGTACCGCCTTCCTTCCAAACAGAACGAATTGCCAATAATGAAAGTGGAGGCCAGTGAGCACGAATTAAACGCTTTGCGACAGAAAAACGAACAAAAGAACCTGACAAAAATTATTTTTCTTATTTCAATCGTTTATAAAAATACCTGCACTTTTGCTGCTGCTAGGACCGGGTATTGCTGCTTCAATTAAGGGTTTTTTTGCCCCTTTTATTGCATCTTCTCTTAATTGCCGATAAATCAAAAATCCTTGAGAGCTTTGCATTCGTGTTTTGATAACCTAAAAATTTTTGTTAAACATAAACCAAAAAATAAAAACCTCGAGGGGACAAGTTAGAGCTGTACCAGCAGTTCCACCAACGGCACCACCCGTAAAATGAATGAAAGCCTCAAAAGAAATAATTTTTCTTTAACAAATCAAGTCTAACCTCTTTCAATCCACCCGTATCATTTTGAGCCATTAGAGATAAACAAATAAATAATCAAAGTTGGAGGATCCAGCGTCTAAAATCAAAGAAGATAAATTATTTATTCAAAAAAGCTGCAATTCACTAGTTTTACCAAAGAATCCAAAAACTGAAAAATTAGAAAAAGTACGTTCCCAGACGATTTTCGTACTTATTCGCCAATATCAAAGATTCAAAAGAAAATCTACAATTATCTAATTTCGTTATTATTTTGTTGCACTACGGATCAAAACAGCACCTAAAAAATTAAACGAGAACAATTTTAGACAGGGAATTTACATTCCTCATCCTACGTCGTTAAAGCAAATTTTAATTTTAGGTAATAAATTAAAAGATAACAACAATTAAAATAAATATAATTTAACTAAAATCATTTATCGAATATTTAAATTTAATGAAGGGAATTAGCCAAATTAAATTTTAATTTTTAAAAAGCCAACAAAAGCATGTTAAAATCAAAAATCATTATCATAAAATTTAGTTTGACCATAAACCCATTAAAGCAATAAGTACATGTCAATTTCATAAAAGATCAGAAAAATAAACAAAAAGCAAATGAACCAGTCAAAAGTGAGCCTTGTTAAGTTAAAATGAGGCAAAAAATTATTTCATTAAAAACATCAAATATGTTGTCCTGCCCATTCATCTAGACAATTGAAACAAGCTAAAAATAATTTTTTAAATAAAATAATAAAAAAATTCTAAAACCTGTTGCGTGATGCTGGCTAGCACCAACTTCCTCTTTTAACCATTCCACAAACAAATCTTTGTCCTTCCTTAATAACAAAAATTGACCAAACAAAATATAGGCCTTATCGAAGCCCTAAAAATAAATAAAATTTGTGATTTATAAATGAATAAAAAATATTCTAAATTTACCTTTTCTTCCAATTTTTTGCCATAAACTGGCCCAATACCAGCAACCGTTGTTACTTCTTTGTCACCCATTGGTTCTGCAACAAAATCCCTGTGTTTTACAGAAGTCGACATTTAAATTAGATTGTTTTTTAAACTAAACAGTAAAAAATATTTATTAAAAAACAAAAACACATTAAAACCCAAAAAGAAAAATGAAACAATTCTGCTCTCAATCTTCTGCTCTCAATTAACCTAGTCTCACAAAATTTGGACTTTTCAATGCTAAAATTCAGCGTCGCTTTTCCTCTTAAGTAAGGTCGATTCAATTTTGCCTATTCATCTCCGCCCAGAAGGAGAAGTTTCGAACCTTATAATTTTGATAAGGTTTTTGTATTTTTTTAGATTTTAGTGCAATGTTACATCTTTCTATTACAACGGACAAAAATGAATTTCCATATCAGGTCCGTTACCCTGCAAAAATGGCTTTCGGAGAGTTTAAAGTTGGCAATTTAGTAATTTAATATTTAAAAAAATTATTTTAGATTAAACTAGAAATGGTTGTAGGTATTTATGCACAAGATATGAAACTTGAGTTGCATTCACCGAATGGAAAATTTTGCTCAGAGTTGGTTGGAGATGATCGAACTTTGGAGGAGGTAGGAATTAATGGGCCGTATATGAAAATAATGCGGGAATCAAATTTTTTCCTTCATTTTTTCCTTTCAATATTTTTCCTTATTTTGTACAGAAAGGTCAGACTTTTTCCCTCGTTTACTTCCAATGAATTTCCCTGGGTAATATTGAAGAGTACAGACCCCATTTTTTCCTCCCTATTTTTCCCCCTATATTTTTACAAAATGGTCAGACTTTTTCCTTCCTTCCATCAAATTTGCCTTGCTAATTTTTGCCTGAGTCAAAGAAAAAGGAATATTTTTGATATTTTATTTCCCATTTAATAGAGAAAATGAGTCTTCTCAAAACTCATACTTGTTAAATACCAAAAAATAATCCTTTTTCTTTGATTCAGACAAAAATTAGAAAGGCAAATTGGATGGAAGGAAGGAAAAAGTCTGACCATTTTGTAAAAATATAGGGGGAAAAATAGGGAGGAAAAAATGGGGTCTGTACTCTTCAATATTACCTTTCCCTGTGGCATGTTCAAATGTAATACACGGACGGACTCGGACAGACAAAAACAGACAGACAAGACACGGACGAACACACAGACAAAAATCGGACGGACTCGGACAGACAAAAACAGACAGACAAGACACGGACGAACACACAGACAAAAATCGGACGGACTCGGACAGACAAAAACAGACAGACAAAACACGGACGAACACAGACACAAAACACGGACGAACACAGACAGACAAACCACGGACTAAATCGGACGGACACAGACAGACAAAACTCGCACACACATCGGACAGAAAAAAAAGTAAATGCTCACAAAGTTAGAGAAAAATAATTCTTTTGCGGTGAAGTTCGCGGGTATTTTCCCTACGGCATAAATCAAATATAAAGAGAATTATTGAGAAATTGACTATTATGGGGAGCAGGAAAAAATTTGATTCCCGCATTATTTTCATATAGAGCCAATTAATGTATGTATATAGTTTCACATCTTTATTTCATTGTAGATGGGTGTAATTGATAATTCAATCATTCATGTGCACGATGTTTCACAGAAATTGTCTTCATTAATTCCTCAGGATTCAAATACATCAAATGTTGAACATTATACAATTCCTGATGAGAAATATTCTGCTAGAAAAGGCAACTTATTTATTTTTATTTTTTACATTATTTAAATTTTAGATACTGCTAGAAAATGGAAACAGGAATTTTTAGCATCAAAAGGTTCTTTCTCTTCTTCGCCAAATTGTTCTGATCATATTGTGAGTAGTATGCAGGTTGCTTTTTTGTGTTTAATTTATATTTTTTATTTAAAATTAGGTTGGAAAACGTTGTATAGTTCGTACAAGTGGGCAAAAGCCTCGTTTTGCCAAAATTGCATACATTGGACCGACACATTTTGATGCAAAACAAGAAGCTAGTCGGCCAAATAATTGGGTTGGAGTTATTTATGAGAATCCAGAAGGGAAAAATGATGGATCTTTGGACGGGAAAAGGTTTGTCGTCAAATGATATTTAGAAATATTTTTATTTTTCCCTTATTCAGATATTTTACTTGTAGACCAAACTATGGTGGATTTGTTCTTCCAACATCTATAGAAGTTTTAGAGGAAGATGGACATTTTGTAAATGATCAAAATGATAATGAGCAAATTGAGGAAATTTAAAGAAACAATTTAAAAGTATCATTTTTTGGGGTTTCGGTCCCTTTGGAAACCATGGTTTTCTCTAACATTAATGTCCTTGTTCGCTTTTTAAACCTAATTTAATAAATTATTTAACAATTAGACGGAGTTTTTGTCTTTTAATTGTTTTTTTAAAAATATTACTTAATAAAATAATTTAATATCTTTATTTATTCTTTCTAGATTTATTGTTATGCTTTCTTTATACAGAAATAGGGAATTAATTGCTTATTTTCTGAAAATTTCTACAACTTTTTCTCTTCCTAATCGGTGTTTCTGTTCCTTATCTGTTCAAAAGGAAAAGAAACTAATTCTTTCAGATTTTATTGAAATATATAATAGGGATCAATGGTCATTGGAAATCCTTTCAAACTTTATTGCAGATTGTAATATTCAGCCAGACTTCATCTCACAAGGTTTTGAAACATTTGGAAAGTATCAAGGGTGCGGGAAGGGGCGAAATTTGCCCTGAATACGCCCTCTAAATTTATTTTAATATTAAAGTTTTGTTTTTAGATGAAGAATGTCAACTTTTACAAGAAATCGAACCCCATATGAAAAGAATGAGATGGGAGGAAGAACATTGGGATCAACAAATTCATTTTTATCGCGAAAGAGAACAACTCAAGTAATTGTTCATCATAAAACTAATATTTTTTCTTTAGATGGAATACAAATAATCAAAAGATTGTTGAAAGAATTTGGAGAACTTCATTCCCAAATTCAACGAGAAAATCTCCTTATGTGCATATTTTAGATTTACATGAATGTGGGTTTATTAGGCCTCATGTGGATGAATCTAGGTATAGTAACTTATTATTGATAAAAAAAGGGACAAAAAACATAACTTTTTCCAAAAATCTTTAACAAGTTAAGAGAATTTCGGAAAGATAATTTACTCCATTTAAAGATTCCCAATGGAGAGATTTTTTATTTAAAAATTATTCTAAAGATATTGTGGTGGAATAATAAGTGGATTATCCTTACTATCTACCTCAATAATGCGGCTTGTTCATACAAACCCTCAATTGTCAAATATATGCAAGGCTGACTTATTACTTCCAAGGCGCAGTCTTTATCGACTAACGTTTGAAGTTTTAATTTTTTAATTAAATATTTTAAAAATTATAGTGGTTTAGCCCGTTTTGAATTTACTCATGAAATCTTAGCTAATGAAGAGAGTAATTTTCGTGGAAAGTATGTGCCGAGGCAAAGGCGAATTTCTGTTATCTGCCGAGAATTTCCAACATCTCAAAATGATGTTACGTCTTCAAAACCAGAAAATCAAATGAAAATAATTCCACAATCAGAATAATTTCATTTAAAAATTTTTTTTTTTTTTTGTAAAATATTTAAGATTTGTTCAAATATTTTTTTAATTATTAATTAAAATAATATTAAATATATTTTTTTATTAATTTTAGATCATAATAATATTAGAAAAATAATTTTTAAAAATAAAATGGAAAACGCCAAAAAGATGGTGCGTAAAGCAGCTAAACTTCAACAACACCAAATTATGAAAATTCTACAGCCAACTTTAGATGAACGACTAAAGAATATTGGTTCAATTTATTTTTTTTATCAAAACATTTTTTAATAAATTAGGACCTACCTGTAGTTCTGCTGCAGATATTGGAGAAGGAGCGCTTGATGGATTTCCGGATGCCTATTTGTTACAACTTCATCCTGAGTTGTAACACATTTTAATTAATTAAAGTTTAAAATTCAGGGACCCTCCCTATTTGTTTGAATGTTTTTGGGCCACTCGTTTGAACCGTGAAGATGCTGATTGGGCGTTCCAGTTGTTCAGAAGGAATATGCTCGAACTGTCTGCATCTTCAAAATGATTGTTATTTTCAATTTAGTTTTTTAAAAGCTATAAAAGATCGCGTTGGGGCTTTGATGAAGAACTTAAACAGCGTGAGCTAACTGCGACTGCTGCACGTTTCTTCATTATTCGCGCTCGTATTCATCACTCCCCTTCTTGTCCATGTTCTTCTTCTTCGGATACAAGTACCACTGTTCGACCTGTTGCTTATGCACATTTTCGGTAAATAACTGAATATTAAATAACCTTCAAAATTTTGGGACAGTAAGAATAAGTTTTCTTGAGGCTTCCCTTTAAGTTTCCTTGTAACCTTGCCATAATGCGTAATGATGCGAGTATCAAGGGCTATCTTCCCGCGGATCAAATCCTTCTAAATTTTACACACCTATAATTTGTGGGCACGGCATTGAAAAAGGGAGGGTGTAGAATAAGGGTACAACTACCAGAGGGTAATAGTCGGATGAAAAACGAACATAAATTTCCTTTTTCAGTTTTGTCGAAGATGATTCCCGACCAGTTCTTTATTGTTATGAGTTACAAGTAGAAAAGGATTATCACCGCCGTGGTCTTGGCACATTTCTTACCGAAATAATGGAAATTATTGGGAAAAGGTATAGTCGGTTTTGTGTTACCCTTTTTTCTCATTTTTTCATCTCACTTGAAAAAAGAGGAATGAGTGCTTCTTCGATATTTTAGAAGTTTGCCAATATCTAATTATGTGTGCTTTATTTTTTAGTACTAATATGGATGTGGTGATGTGTACTGTATTCTCTTACAATGAAAGTTCAATTGATTTCTTCCGCAAGAATGGTTATGACAATGATCGGACGTGTATTTATGGAAAGGATCGTTCAGGTGGTTGTTTGGGTAGAGATTATTTGGTGTTAAGCAAATCATTAAATACTGAGAAAAAAGAAAAGGACGGGAAAAAGAGCTGATAATTTAAGGATTACACGTATTTATATAAAAAAATATATTTTCAATACTTTTCCAGAAAAAGTATTGAAAGCAAGTTGAAAGATGCTTAATTTATTTACTAACTTTACATGTTTTCTTAAATATTGTTTTGAACTTTTTTTAAATTTATATTATCTGACTGATAATTTTTTTGGACATTTAAATAAATTTTACTCTAAAAATTCTAGTCGTAACGGTTTCCGTGGTAAGTCCATTACTCGTGAGAAGTAATGGAGCTTTTCATTTATGAGTAATTTAGAAAATTTTCTGTCCCATTTATGAAAAAGGCTATTCGATTTTAGCATTTATGCAAAAAAAAATTAGTACATATTTTGGAAAGAGGAATGCATACAGTTAAAGCTCTTATAATCTTGTCATCAATCAGTCTTCACAAATGTGGTGGTTGAAAGTCAGGAAGTATTGTGGTCCCTTCCAATGCTGATGCTATTGACTGAAAATCTTTGTTTATTTAATACCAGAACTAAAAAATACATTTAATTCCACCAATTTACAAAGCAATTGCGCCATTAAGATTGCCGGTTCATGTGTTTTATTGTCAAACCTCATTGTCAAATCCGCTAACCATTCTGAAAGGAAAGTTTCTTTAAATCGTACCCATTCCGGTAAATCCTTATTTATTTTTGTTTGTCCAAATTCTTGTTGGGCTTAATAATTTTTTTGTTAAGATTAAAATAAATTTATAAATACTAATATTCCAAATTGTTACAGCCATCATTGCACAAATATCCTGCTGTTTAATGCCTTCTGGAAATTTCTTTAAGTTGCTAATGAATTTGTAGTATTTCTCCATTAAAGGCTTTTTCAGACTAATTTAAGTAAAATAAATTTTGTTTAAGGTATTAGATGAACCGAATATATTCCTCAGGATTAGGTTTGTCTTTTGCCAATTGTTCAATAAACCCGTCTAATTCATCGATATTAATAACATAACCAAAATTGACAACAAAACGGTTATCCTCAATATCAGGGAATTGGGAAAGTGTTAAATAACAGGAATGAAGCATTGTAAATTGTCTATAGCTACAATCAAGAATTGTTAGCTGTAATTAAGAAATGAAAAAGTTAAGGAATAATAATTAAAACTTGACCTTTGTCTTATTTTCCATTTGTGAAAATATCTGAAATCCGTCATTCAACATTGTAAAATACAAAGGTTTTGAATCTGATTGAATTTGTGTAAAATCGTCAATATTTCCAGTAGCAGTAACCTTAAAATTAAAATATTTAAATAAAAATTATTGAATTACTTCATGAAGTGAACGTTGTCCATCGATGAAAGAATTATAAGCTCTAATTATCTTGGCTAGATTGGGTGCATAACTGTCATCAAACGTCTTTCCTATAGGTGTATTTGATGAATCCATTTGATCCTTTAAAGCAAACCGAAACTACTGAATACGCCATTTTTATTTACTCCTCAAAAATGACCAGAAAAGAAAAATGTTCTTTTTGAGGACAGAAAAATGAATCAGTTATTCAGCAGTTGCATCAAATTAAATTTAAATAAAGTTAAATAATTACTTGTAAATCATTTTGAAATGGAAATGATAAATCTTTGTCATTATCTTCAATAGAAGAAAAGTTATAATTCATCCCAGCCTGACGACAAAGACGTAAGCGACATGCTTTGCAAGCATTTCGATGTCCTTCTTTAATTGAAAGAATAAATTTTTTTAACAAGTAAATTATGAAACCTTCACGAATATCACATTTATTTGTTCCTCTAAGACAATTATAAGTACGATTTTCAATTACACACCTTCTAAAAACAAACAATGTTATAATCGTATTTTTATATACTGTTAAAATTGAACTATTACCATACATAATTTTTTATAACTTACATCAGTTACCGTAATTGTATTAGAGACCGGCAAAATCGCACTTCCGGGATCCCGAGTCGGGATTTTTTTCTTAACCGATGCCGGGACGGGATCCCGAGGGAGTAATCCCGAAAAAATCCCGAATTTCAAAAATCCCGAAAAAAATTATCCGGGATCCCGCCCGGGATTCGGGATTTTTTTCAAAATAAAAAATTTGAACTTTTTATGAATAAAGTGCATAAAATACTGCAATTTATACTAAGTAAATAAAATTAAATTTGTAAAAATATCAATAATTTTTTATAATTGGATTGTCCTCCTCCTTTAATTCCCTCTATAATAGATTTAGAGGGATATCGGTGGATTAATCACTAGGTTACTTGATAATATCCCACTATGTATTAATATTCCTTCACTTTACTCCAATAATAACTCAAAACGTATCCATTTTCAGCGCCGCAGGCGAAAATTTTTTAAATTTTGGATGATCCTTAAGCCAAAAATCTTCCTTCTTTGCGCCGCAGGCGAAAAGTTCGAGAATTTCGGAGTTCCTTAAGCCAGATTTCTTCCTTTTTCAGCGCCGCAGGCAAAAATTTTGAGAATTTTTAGAGGACAAGAAGCCATATTTCTTCTTTTTTCAGTGCCGCAGGCGAAAATTTTGAAAATTATAAAAATCCCGAAAATTATAAAAAAATGTCCGGGATCCCGAGTCGGGATTTTATTTTTTAACCGATGCCGGGACGGGATCCCGAGGGAGTAATCCCGAAAAAATCCCGGATCCCGAATGATCCCGAAAATCAAAAAAATCCGGGATTTCGGGAGCGGGATCCCGGAAAATCCCGTCGGGATCCCGTCCCGCGCCGGTCTCTAAATTGTATCTCATTGAGCTAAAGAGATTGGTATCAAAATTGATAAGGGTCATAAATTTTCCAGCTAGTTATGGCGTTTTTACTCCTCTTAACCCTTTTACTGACTTAAATTATTTTTGACAAGAGCCTAACAAATGGACTCCCTTTCATTTTTTATTTTTGAATAAATTTCAATTTAAACCTAAAGAAAGCAGCACACGGTCGGCAGGCAACAACACCGAAATGACATCCATGACTAGCCTGAGCACAAATAGCACATTGCAATTCTGGTAGAGTACCACAACCAGTCGCTTTCATATTTACACCTTCAGTCAAACAAGGGGGGCCAATTTTGTCAAAAAAACAATCAAGTTTGGAAATTACACTACGCCAAACTAACGCTCTCTTTTAAAATATTCTAAATTTGCATACAGAACATTTGCAATAAATCCTTAATCCTTTTTAATCTGCATATGTAATTTAATAAAAAATTTAAATTTACAATAAAACAGATTTAAAAATGCTTTCAAATTTATCTAAAAATATTTTTACAACAAGAATTCATACATTACACATAAGATTTGCGAGCTCTTTTTCTGACCGACCTACTTTATTGACAATTGTAGATAAATCTGGATATGTCAAAAAGCCAAACATTGTAAAAATAGGAACATTCCAGGGTGCTGGAGGTGGAAATATAGAAACAAAGCTATCAAATAAGGTTGGAATAGGTCAGTAATTCCAATAATCTTTTCTACTTTAATAAAATTTTCAGGTAGTGAAATTCGCAGTATTTACAAATTTGGCAGATTTTGTGGTTAAGGCTACTGCTGCTTATTTGACTTTGAGTAATTCACTTTTTGCTGAAACTCTTCACAGCTGTGGGTTAAAAAGAATATTTAAAAATTTTTTTATTTAAGTTTTGGACCTTATAAATCAAATAATTCTATTTCAAGGTAATTTTTCGAATAGAAAAGTTTAAATTGAAATTTTAGGAAATAGAATTTCTACTAAAGCACCTTGTGCAGACTTTCCATATGGCTATGGAAATATGAAATATGTATTTCTTAAATAATTTGTTTACCAAGTATAATTCTGTACTAGATATGTTCTTTAAGTTCTGGATTTGGTATTTTGGCATTTGGTTGTGGTCTTTCAGTATATAATGGAATTCAAGGATTTGTAAATCCTGGTGAGCTTGAATCGCTCTCATGGGTTTTATTATTTTAAAAATTATTTACAATTTTTTTCAGGGAATTGGACTTTTATTTATTTCTGCATCTTTGCAGTGTGCTTCCTTTACTAGAGCATTTTTTGAGGTCCGAAGGCGAGCTAAAAATGAAGGGCTTTCTGTGAAACAATATTGTTAGTTTTTTCCCTTTTCTATTCATTTTTAAAAAAAATTTAGTGGTAAGTGCGGGTGCTGATCCAAGTATAAAGGTTGTTCTGTTAGAAGATGCTGCATCAATAACTGGCGTTTTGATTGCTCTTACATGTGTATCACTCACTCATGTGACTGGTACTACAGGTTTTGATAGGTTTTAAATAATGAATAATTTTTTAAATTAATTTAATTTTTTGCTAGTTTTGGTTCAATATTGATTGGTTTAGTACTTGGAACTGCTGCATATCAAATAATTTGGGCAAATGCTCTTCATTTAGTAGGACGGTCATTACCAGAAAGTAAACAAAGGCAAATAATTGCTTACATGACAGAAGATCCAATTATTAAGTAATTGTTAGTTTAGATATTTTTAAATGTTTTGATTTTTAAGGAGAATGCATGATGTTAAAGCTACATATATGGGTAAATATTTTATAAAATATTAGTATATATTTTTGGGTTATCCAATTAATTTTTGAAAACTTTGGGGGCAGGAAATGTTTTTATAATTATAAATTTAGATGTAAATGATTATCGTTTCAAAGCTGAAATTGAATATAATGGACGTGAAATTACAAAATTATATTTAAAAGAGGATTGTAATATGGAAGAATTACAGCAACAAGTCTCAAAAATTACTAACAAAAAAGAACTTGAAGAATTTATGCTTTTGCATGGTGAAAAACTTATTGACAAGGTAAAGAATTTTTAGAAAAATATTTTTTTAAATTTATATTTAAAATTTAAGGTTGGGGATGAAGTTGATCGTCTTGAAAAGAAAGTTAGAGAAAAATACCCAGAGTTTCAACATATAGATTTAGAATCATCTTGACTTGTCAAATAAAATTTGAAAATTTTTTAAATGTTTGGGACAGTTTTATTTTGTATTTTTTTGTTCATAAAAGTAATTTCACTTAAAAAGTATTTTTGTAAGAAATTTTTTTAGATAATTTATAAAATTATTTTCTAAAATATTATTTTACTAATTCTTTTTATTTTTTTGTTATGGATTTAATTAGTTACAATGATGCTAAAAAATTCCTCGATGATTCTCTAATTGAGGAATGTATTGAACGCAGACATATTACTTTGGTTATTTAAATTTAATTTTTAAAAATTTTTGAATTTGAAGGGTTGGCAACATTCTGGCAATATTGGGGAATCAATTCGTCGTTTAGTAGAATCATCTATTGGACAATTTAGGAAACAGTTAATTTTTGTTTTTTCCCTTTACTAAATATTGCTTTTGTTATTTTTGGATATGCTCTAGCTGAGGGGGCATAAAATTTAATATTTTTTTAAATACGCTTGTATCTATTTTAACTTTTCCCTCTATCCCTCCCCTTTCATTCAAATTTTTCAAATTTAATTTTTTTCTCAGAATATCTGGTGTTCCAATAGCATTGGGTACAATTCGACTACTCAAACCAATTTATATTTTGGAGGATCATAATTGTATGCATGTTGATTTTGAAGTACAAATGATTGTTTTAAAGTAAAAAATTTTTAAATTTTTAAATTTTGATTTTATTTTTTTTTCTATTTTAAAGAGTACAGCCGGGAGGTGAAAAATGTGATGGTGAAGGAGAAAAAATAATTACTTGTAAGGCAAAACAAGTATTGAAACATGGAGTTGTTGGAACTGTTTTTGGCAATATAGGAATGGTAAATTTTATTGTTATTGGGGGAATTTGATTTAAATTCCTTAAAGTTAAATTCCTCCCCCACTTAAAATGGGGGAAATTTAATTTAAAATTTTCCGGGAATATTTAATAATTTTTAAAATGTTTCTTTCAGGTTTGTTCACCAGCACCTCATGGAATTAAAGAAAACGATGTTTTTAAAGCTTGTTTTATGGGTGTAAAATTTAAAAATTCGATTTGTCAGGTTCAAACAATTCCTCTATCCATTAAAAAATTTAATAATTAATTTATTTTTATAAATATATTTTTATTGAATAATTAAAATTAAACGAAAATTAATTTTGAATTTTTTTATCCAATTTTTAGTGTTTCCCCATTTCTCAAAGAAATTTTACATCATTATTTAACTTGGATGGCCGTAGCCACCTTACCTCCTGGCTATGGGCCTGCCCTTAACTCTGGGTGAGTATGGCTCTCTATTACCAAAAATTTTTTATGGGAATAAATTAACCTGTTGCAATTAGGAGTAGTATCATTTGTACTTATTTTGAAAGTGCAGTGCTTTACAAGTCTACCTTCGTTCTTACGAAGTTGAAAATTTACAAATAAACTTTGATTAGACAAATAAATTTAACCATAAATCTCTTAAAATTTGCACCGGCGGTGCAGAAGAATGAATTTTTTAGGTCCTTCTGTCCAAAGAATTTAGAAAATTTTTTATAGAGTACTTATAATTGAAAAATTTTTACTATGTACTTATAAATTGGACTTTTTGTACTCAAGCTTTAAATTTTCTCGATGCTAGCCCTGTTTTAAGATTATCTGTTTAATTCCCCAATCTACTTTATTTTTTTAAATTTAATTTTTCATACTCCACTACTATAATTTTAATTCTTTACTCTTATTTAGTGTTGTTCAAATAAATAAAAAATGGTTATTATTTTTTAAGAAATTCTTCACTTAATTTCAGAATTATTCATCAATCGTTCAGCTCGAGTTTCCTTTCGATTATTTTCTATTTTATGTTGTTCATAATCACATAGATTTTCGATAATATTCTTATTTTTTAGAGACGGATCTAGTATTAAAAATATTTTGATTAGAAAAATTGTTACCCGATAGTTTATTAGACGAGTTTAAGGCTATAAATCGAGGAGAGCGACGTCTTCTACCACCACCTCCTCCATCGCAACAACAACAGCCTTTTTATTAAACAAATTAAAATTTTTATTATTTTTATCTATATACATGGTCTGCAACAACAACAGCAACATCTACAACAACATGGACATGTTCTGTAAATTGATATATTAAAGAGCTTTCTTATAAATTTTATTCAATTAAATTCCCTTTAAACCTTCATGACTATGGAGAAATTTAAATTTTTTTAATTTTCAATTGAATCTTTTCAGTTTATCACGAATTTTAATTATTTAATACTCATTATTACCTCGGTAATTTAATCAACAAAGGAGGGTTACAACATTGACAAGGTCCAACACAGGTACATCCACAACAACAAGGCTTACTTTAAAGGAATTTTTGTCAAAAAAAATTTAAAAATAATTTACCAACAACAACATCCACCACAACAATTTGCTTCAACAAAATTTTGCTTTTCTAAGAAAATAGTGGAAATTAAAATTAAAGGGAATGTAATATATTTAAGAAAATATAAAGTTGAAAAAAATAAAGACATTTAAAAAATAATTTTTTAATAATAATTATTAGATGATTTTAATAATAAAAAGTGAAAGTAATTTATATTTAAAATTATATTTACTTTATATTATCCATTGTCCACAAATTACACAAAAAATCAAACAAAAATATAATAATTCCAAAAATAATTAAAAAAAATTTCTTCATTTAATATAATCTTTGTTTATTTATTTTTTATTTTTCTTTATGCGCAACAATTAAAAAGTACATTATTTATATATTTTTGTGGCCATTCTTTTATCTCTTTCTCATTTGTTTTCATTTATTTTTTTAATTTTCACATTCAAAATCTATTTATTGTTTATTATCTTCACTTTCATTAATTAATTTTTTTAAATAAAAAAACGAGACTTTTGTCTATTAATATTTAATCAATATTAATACATATATCCCAATTTAGAATGAAAAAAGAAGCGATTGAAAAAAACTGGACAGATACTGCTTAGAAAAGAGGGAACGAGGGAAGGGGAGAGGCTACTAAATCTGATGTTATCTGATTTTTAATGAGTAATTAAAAAAAGAAAATTAAGAAATAAAATAAGGAAAGCTAAAATTTAGAGACAAACATTTTTTGAATTAAAACAATTAATTAATTAATTAAATTCAAATTAATCTTATTAATGTGCAAAATCAATTTTCAAAATTAAAAGGCGGGAAATGTTGAGATTTCTATTTTGTTTCCGCCGTAGAGGATTTATTTATATTTTACTTAGAACAATGTTTTATGAAAAATATTTACCTTTTACATTATTATTAATTTTACAATTACACATGTTATTACCTTTTATTTATAATATTTTTAGTTTAATTAATGATGATTTTGAAAGGTAATCATAATAATTATTTTAATAGAATTCTTTGATAAAGTATGGTGTATCGAAGGCAAGAGGAGCAAGCTTACTCCCTTCTATGGTTTTTCGATTTTTGGGGACCTATAATATATCTCGGTCCACAGGCATTTCCGCATCTAGAGAGTGGTACCGACGACTTAGCTCATCGAGACGAATCGAATGGTATGTGTTTTGTACCTTCGGTATACTGCATTATATCCAATAATTTTATTAAAATAATATTAATATTCCTTTTTAGTGAAATTGGTAATAGTAACTGTGATGAAAGTGAACCGGTGAAAATATTATATAAAATACGGTGAACTCTTCCGTTAAATCTGGCTTAAATGATTCTTTTTTCAGAATATCCATTTTAAATAATTTTTCCTTCCACATATTTTTCCCGAAAATTTAAATTAATGAGAAGAGTTACTACTAACTTTTATTTATTTAATTATTTATTTTTAATTTAATTTAGATGGCTTACAATATAAAAATATATAATAATGCCTCAAACACCATTCACAATCTTAGAGGGAGAAAATTTGATTGTCGTCTTACTTCAATTCTAAAAAAATTTCAATTAACAAGTCAAGAAGAAAAACCTTTAGATTTTATTGTTATTCTATTTTTATTTTTAAAAATAATTTAAAAAATTAAGGCAGAACCCCCAGGTTCTCCAGTTGGAACAATTTTTATAACTGCAGCAAATTTAAATTTCGTCCCTTCACTTCGAGCTGTTATTGCAAATATTAAAAGGGCATTTGGTGTTAAACAAAAAATTGTTGCCTATGATTTGGGGGGAATTTTGAGAAATAAAGTTATTGTAAGGGAAATAATTTAAAGAAATAATTATTAAATTAAATTAAAAAAAAGATGAGAGAACTTGGACAAATATGTAATTTAGAAATAAGAGAATTTAATATTAAACAATTACCTAAAAATGTACGTGGAATGAAAACATTTTCATGGAAATTGTTACTTTTTGCGGTAATTAATTAAAAATAAATATAGAAATAAATTTGAAGGTGAAAAAGAAATTATAATTTATCTTTTAATTTTAAAATAGAAGGAATAGAAAATATATTTAAAAATATTAATTTATTAATTTTTTAGCAAGCTTATTTAGAATTTGATTCATTTATTTATTGTGATACTTCTGTTCATTTTATTTCCAATGATTTTAGAGAACATTTTAATTTAATAAATTCGGGTAAAGTAAGTCCTTTCCTTTTTGGATTAGGTACTTATCACGGCATTAAACACGCAACTTTACAAGGTATTTTAAAAAGAAATAAACTTTAAAAGTTAATTTTTAATTAGAAACATTTGAATATATTCCTTTATTTAATGGGAAACATTTTGATATTGAAATGCAAGAAGCTAACTTTATTATTGTAAAAAGAAGTGAATTTACAAGAGAAATTTTAAAATGGGCATTACTTTGTGCATTTACTTTGGATTGTATTGAACCTAGAAAAGTTCCTTGGGATTGCCCTGAAGAAATTTTTTATAGTAATAGAGTTTATGGTTTATGCCATAGAATGGACCAAAGTGTTTTAAGTACTTTAATTTATAATGCTGAAGAAGAAATTGTTGGGAAAGGTTAAAAAAAGAAATTAAAATTTAAATTAATTTTAATTTAAAGGAAATAAAAAATTAATTAGGCATTATGATTTCCTTCATCCTAGTCATCGTCTAATTAAGCATATGTTGGTTAGGAGACAATGGAATAAAGAAAAAATGGCAAAATTATATAAATGTTAAAATTCTGATCTTAAATTTATTTAAATGTTTTTATTCTTAAGAAAATTTGATATTTTTAATAAAATAATTGTCAGACAAAAGAATAATTTAATTTAATTAAAAATACAAAAAAAAACAAATTTTCTGTTTAAAAATAGTAAATTAACGTTTCTCTCTTTTTATTTCTTTTGATGTTCTAAACAAAAAATATTATTTAAAATCAAAAATTATTTTCTTAACCTTATTAATTCAACTTTTCCTCCAAATTCTTCGATAAACTTTCTCTTATTTAGTGAGGGTAATTTTTCTGACTTTTTGATAAAAACTTTATTTAAATTATCATTTAAAAAGAATAATTCTTTTGCTTCTTCCTTTTCTCCTCCATTTTTTATTTCTTTCCTTGCATCAGAAAGTAACTACAAAAACATTAAAAAAACCCATATTAATTATACAAATATTTTTTTAAATAAAATGCTTACAACTGCAGTTGAATTATATTGACCTTAAAAATATTTAAGTATTGAGAGGATAAATGTTTGTAGATTACCCAAATGGAAGGGTTCAACATCTCCGTGTAAACATTTATGTAAAAATTCTTCAATAAAACCAGCCATTGCAAGAGTATTGTGTGGTTTTCTAGGTCCATGTCCTTCATCTGGGAATACAATATAAGTAACTGGAATATGATTTTTCATTAAAGCAGCAACAAATTGATCTAAAAATATTTATTTTAAATCATCAGAATTTTTAAAGACCGGATTCAGCTTGTTTAACTCGCGGATCATTAGCTCCATGTACAATCATTAATGGATGTTTTACTCTATTTGCAAAATATAAAGGGGAACGACTTTTTAAATAGCGACGACCTTAAAAGAATTATTTTTCATTTTAATAAAACTACTAGCCTTCTTCTGTATTTTTATCAGCACCCAGCATTGTTGTCATATCTTTATAAAAACCCTATTTATTAAAAATCATTTTTTGTTATAATTTAAATTTTAATTAAAATTTAACCATCCAATAAGGAGGAATTGTTTCTAATAAAGTAATTAAATTTGATGGTCCCACAATATCAACTCCTTAATATTTGCTTTAATATATAGTTAAACAGAAAAAACTTGCCACATGCAAAAATATCCGGTGTGAACTTTAAAAATATTATTTAAAGAAATTATTTTTGATTAGGATGTTGTTACTATGAGGCTAATATATATTTAAATTTAAATAAGATATTTTTTTCTCTTATAAAATTAATAACTTAATATGTCTTGAATTTCAAAAATATTTTTTTTCAAAATAAATTTTAAATTAATATTTATTTAATAATAACTGTCATTCCAACTAATGTTGCATATCCTCCATAAGACCCTCCCATTATAGCTATTTGTCTTTTATCAGCAATTCCTTTAAAATAAATCAAATATTTAATTTATTTTCTCCAAAAACCATTATGAACAAGAAAATCAATTCCATCTAATAAATCTTGATGCATTTTACGTCCCCACTCTCCATTACCAGCATTTGTTAAATTTTTACCAAAACCAACACTTCCACGAAAATTAACCTTTTTTAAACAAATAATTAATTTAAAATAATTTCAAAAACTTGTAAAACAGCATATCCTCTACTTGTTAACCAAGCATTTATAGCGGCAAAACCAAAAAAATCTCTCAATTTTGGGCCTCCATGGATTAATACAATGAGTCTTTGGGGTTTTTTAGGTAGCATTCCTTGTCGAGCTAATTCTAGCCGATCACCGTGTAATTGAGCTGGACCCAATAATGGAGTCTTTCAAAAATAAAATAATTAAGAAAAATTAGTTATATATTATTTTTTAAATGTTTGTTTATCTTAGTTCAAAATACATATATTTCTCTCATTATTATTATAAGGATTTTATTTATTATAAATCTCTAATTTAATTGCAAAAAATCCATTCAATATTAAAAATATTTTGTAAAATTACTTGAGGAGGCAAACTTAAATATGCTTGAATTCGTAATCCATCACGAGCAGAATAATCAAAGCCAATCATTTTACTCAATTTACGGCCAGTTAATTCTACATTTAATTTAATATTTACGTGTTCCGTCTGAGTTAATTTAAGGCCTGTTGGCCTTAAATTAACTAAATATTGCATATCATATTAGCTAATAATAATAACCAGGTCTTGTAGTAAATAAATATTCTGCTCTTTTTTTAGAACGTCTATAAACAAAATATTCAAATGGTTGATCATCACTTATATAACTAACAAGCCAAGCATCAAAATCCATACTTAAAATGAGAGAAATATTTTAATTTAAAAAAATTAAAAGAAAAGCCTCATGCATTCAATTACGGGTGTTCCTGTTGGCCTTAAATTAACTAAATATTGCATATCATCCTAAATAATTAAATATTTAAATTAAATATTTATTTAAATATAATTACTAAAACAGTTGTATTAGCTACATAAATATCTGGTTTATGATATATTTCAGTTACAGACAAAACTGTTCTTTCAATTGGATGGAAAATAACACCTAAATTAAATTAATCGAAAAAATTTTAATTAAAGAGGAATACCTCCAATTTGTGCCTTTTGTGCTGTATAAAGAACCTCATTTTGTTCAGGACGTCCAAAATCATGAACAACCAACTGACCTAGGTCCTATAAAAATTATTTAGAAAAATAATATAAATTAAAATATTATTTTATTTGAGATGAATTTAAATTTAAATTAATTGGAATGACAAAATAATAATGAAGATATCTTCTAACAAGGATTTGTTATTTACCTTACCCTAATCACTTTCTATAAATAGGTAACTCTTTTAAATATTATCAGATTCTATATATTTTAAATTAATTAAATTTACTAACAGTGTCAGCTCCCCATTGCCAATAAATTTTTTGATTGTCTTGAGTAAATGATATTGGTCTAAAAATTAATTTATTAATTATTTAAAAACTAAAAACAGACAAAGTTAAAGCTCTATCCTCAGACGGAACACGTAAATATTCAACCCAATTTAACCTATCAGAAGTTAGCCTTGAAGGATTTGCACTGTCAGAAAGTCTAAAAAATAAATATAAAATTTAAATAAATAAATAAATAAATTAATTATCTACTTATAATAAACAAGAGATCCATCTAAAGCTTCCTCTACAACCATTCTAATTTTAAGATTATTGTCTACAACAATTTTTGCTGGAAATCTTTGATTGTGAAATATCTTTTAATTAATTATTTTAAGTTAATTTTTAAAATAATTTTTTAAAATTAATTACCATTCTCATTTGATTATTAATTAAATCAAGTTCGTAAATATTATGAAAAGACGGATTCTCATCATTAAGACCAATAAGAACTCTATGATCACGTAAATTATTTCCAATAATTAAAGCCTAATATAAAATTATTATTATTTTTTATTCTTACAAACAAACTTTAATTCCCGGTTGTTCATTTACTGTATAAACCGGATTAAAAGGAGAAGGCTAATAAAATAAATATATTTAATTTTAAAAAAAAATTCTGAGAATATTTACATTTGTTATATTAACTTTATAAAGTCTAAAATTTTCATCTCCATTGTTATCTTGATGAAATAAAATTATATTTGGTACTCCAGTCCATTGATAACCTTTTAATTTAAAAAAGATATTAATTAAATTTGTTAACAAACGATAGAAATGTTTTTCAAAAAAATTTTTTAACAATAAATATAATTAATCTAACCACTAATATGGCGGCGATTTTCAAATGTGACAGGTTTACTATATTTACATGAATGACATTTTGTATAAACATTGCTAATACCAAACTAGAAAAAATTAATTCTTTAATTTTATTTAAATTAAATAATTTATACTTCATTAGGTGCAAGGAAAGCAACAGTTTTTCCATCAGGGCTAAGTGTAACTGCAGAATATTTTGGGTCATTAAATAACAAAACTCTGGGTATTAATTGGGCACTCGTTAATTGTTTAAGAATTAATGATGGCAAAAAATAAAAAAATAAGGAAAGAGTGAAGGAAAACATTTAAATTTAAATATCTAAAAAAATAAACTCCCTAAAAATTATTATCTCTCCCTTCAAAATAATTAAATACTTTTAATTTTTAAATTTTAATTTAATGTCTTCTACTTTTTGTTCTTGATTAAGATTAATTTAAACAATTAAAAAAAGTAATTTTAATGTTAATTTAAATATATAACTAAATAAATAATTAAATAGGAATTAACAAATAAAAATCGGGAATGCGCAAATAAATACATATATTGGCCAAGCTTTCTCTTCTTATTATGGACACTGACCTTCTACTAAATATTTATTTTTAATAATTGATTGAGCGAAAAATATTAAAGAAAGATTCTTTTTAGAAATATTTTTATTTTTAAATAAATAAATTTAAATAAAATTTATTTATTAATAATAAAAATAAAATATTTAAAGTTAACTAAAAATATTTAAGATCTTTAATTTACTTTTAAATATATAATATTTAAATATATAAATGTAACAATTCAAATAAAAATTAAAACGTTAAAGATCAATTTAGCACTTCAATTTTTCTTCAAATTTATTTTTGTAATATTTTGTGCTACCTGTTATTTTTTAATTTTTAAGAATTTGTTCCTTTAAAATTTAATAATAATAATGTTTTGTGTTGGCACTGCACGGTGCGAACTGGACAAACTTTGATTTTCTTTATTTTTGTTTGTTTATATAAAATATTTTTTTCTTAAAATAAATAAATAAAAAAAAGATATTTATTTTTAAATTTTAATTAAAAAAAACTTTTCTTTTTTAATTAACCTTTTTTTAAATTTATTTATCGTCTCTTCCAGTTTTTAAATATATTTGTGATGCACCTTTGAATATTGGGTTATAAATAATGATTCCGGAATAATATGTAAAAATATTTTTTTGATTTTTATCTCTTCTTATTTTTAAACTTGTTTATTTAAAAAGAAAAGTGGATTTTATAAATAAATATTTGGGGTGTTATTTGTAAAAACACTTAGAGAAAGCATCTCTCCCTCTCCTTTTAAGCATCTGGTAATTTTGAACTTCGTACCCCCCCCCTTTTTTTGTTTTAAAAGTATTAAAAATGGTCAGTCTGAACACCAATTGTAGAACCCATCGAGCTGTGTCGAATGACACCAAAATTAACAAAATCTGACTTGATTTGACCGAGATACAGACCTCTGAAAATTGAACAACCACATGGGTGATTTTTTTAAATTAAAAAAAATTTAAGCAAATGATAGCTCATTCGACAGAGCTCTTCGAGCTGAGTCGAATGACAATAAAATCAACGTGATTAGACGAGATCTGACAAAGTTATGACATTATTTAGACCTACCGGGGTCGATGGTTTATGTCATATCTTCGTCAAATCAAGTCGGATCACGTCGATTTTGGTGTCATTCGACTCAACTCGACGAGCTCTTTCGAATGAGCTAGCATTTGTATACTTTTTCGTCCTTTTGGTTTTTCGACCCTGTGGTTGTTTAATTTTCAGGGGTCTGTATCTCGGTCAAATCAGGTCCGATTTTTTTGATTTTGGTGTCGTTCGACACAGCTCGTTGTGTTTTATAATCATCTTAAGACTGACCATTTTTAATACTTTTAAAACGAAAAAAAGAGGGGGGGGGGTACGAAGTTCAAAATTACCAAGCATCTTTTTTAATTTTAAAAAATTAATTATTAAATAAAATATTTCCCTTTAAAATTATTTTTTAAACAGTTTAGAATTGTAAAAATAAAATTCAACAAAAGAAAATGGGTGGAGGAAAAGAATGGTGGTTTATTCGAATAAAAGAAAAATTGTCTAATTATTTTTTAATTAAAAAACAACAAATAATTCAAAGATTATATTGGCATTTTCCTTTTTTATTTTATTTAATTAGTTTTCAATCAATTAAATTAATTATATTAATTATTATTATTTTTATTATTTTTATTTTTAAAATAATTGGAGATGAAAGTAAAAAATATTTTAATTTTAAGTAATTTAATTAAAGGTAAACATTTAGAGGAAATATTGAGGATATATGGAGATACTAAATATTTAACTATTAGTCTTGAAACTTCTGCAGATAAATGCGGAGGACTTGGAAATATGGTTGGGAATTAATTTAAAAATAAATATTTAAATTTAAAATATTTGCATTAACGAGAAATAAATATTATGCCTAGGAATCGGATTTTTGAGATATAAATACTGTATTTCTCGATTAATTCCCCTCCCTCGAATAATTCCCCCTCTCGATTAATTCCCCATGCTAGAGTTGGGTTGAAACAATATTCACCACCCCAAATACCCTACTGCACATCCAAACGCCAAAAACCGATTAATTACCCTCCCTCAAATTCCCCATCCCACGTATGTGCTGAAATATTAATTCCCCAGGGGGATTAATTGAGAAAATACAGTATATCCTTCTTTAACAAATAATTAAATTAGATGTGGAGAACAGCTTCTCTTTATGTAATTGGAAAACAATTAAATCGTTCAATTTATTTTGATGGCAATTATAAATGTATTTATGAATATAAAGAAGAATTTCGGGATATTTTTGAAAATAATTATAAAATATTTAAAATTATGGTTATTTTAAATTATTTTAAATTAATTAATTAATTTTAAAAAATTAAAGCGTCCAAAGAAGCAACATGTTAAACTTGTTAGTTTTGCTGAAAAGTGTTGTCATTATGATTCTCCAGATAGGTGGGTGAAGGAATTTTATTTAAAAAATTACAAAAACATCTTTACTAATTTTTCTATTAAATTTTTAGTCATTTCCTTTATTAACAAAATTTATTTTTATTAAATCTTCTCTTTTAATTTTTACTTTTTTGGGCAATATGTTATAACAAATACATGTTAAATAAAATTTTAAAATTTAGTTTGCAGGTTAACAGACGAATCAGCCCAACTTATTAAAATATGGGGAAATTATTTACAATCATTTAAATATTTGAGAAACTACAAAAAACAAATACGAAAATTCTTTACTTTTAGCAGTCAAAATAAATTGAAAGCTTATCAATTTGCCCAAAAATTGTTCAAGTTATTAATTTTTAACTAAATTAATTATTTTTGTAATTTAAATAATTAAATAAATTTATAAGTATTTATGTACTCACTAAATGAAGTGGAGCCTAATTTAAATAAATCATTTGTAAATTACGATTTCCGCTATCCTAAGTTGAAAATTAAAATTATGACGAGATAAAAACGCTCGTATTTTTTCAGAAAAATGTATGTTCAAAATAACTATATTAACTTTCAACAACTTTTTAAAAAAGTTAACAAAAATATGTATATATACCTCTATTTTAAATTAAAAAAATTTAAATTCATTAAATGCTGTTAAAATTTTAATAAATTTAATTTCATAATTTTAGCTCTTAATTACAAGGAATATCGAAAATTTTATTTACAAATTAACCATTTAAAAATTATTTTTAAGCTCAAATTAGTACCATTTTAATATCAAAATAATTGATATTAAATATTCATTTATCCATTTTGCCAATTAAAAATAATAATTTTTTTCAGAAGTCAATCTATTATAAATAAAGAATTTAAAATTTGTGTACATACACGTAGAGGTGATTTTGTTGAATTACAACAGTCTACTAATAAATATTTTACTGAAAAGGCTACTTCGTATATTTTAAATTCTGTTAGGGTATTTTTTAAGAAAAATGATGTTATTGAAAAAAATTTATTTAAAAATAGAAAAGATATTTAAATGTATCAATTATTCTTTTTGGAGATGACAACAATTTTCTGAATCATATTGAAATAGCAGATAATGTGGTAAATTAAATTTTTTTAAATTTGAGGAGGAACAAAAGAGAGAGGGGAGGGGAGGTTTATTTTATAGAAAAATCAGGAGATTTTCTCTTATTTATTCCCACACACATTTTTAGACAATCTACACACCAACAATTAGAAGTAGAGCTGTAAATTTATGTTTTGCTATTAATTATTGTAATTCTTTATTAATAACTGCCCCAACCTCAACTTTTGCTTGGTGGATGGGATATTTATTACCAGAAGGAAGTCCTATATTTTATTATAGTTGTGAACGTAGTTGTCGACATATTTCTAAAAAAGATTTTTTTCCAACTGAATGGCTTCCATTAACCTTAAACTTTGAAGGAAAAATTGAAGTTGACGATAATCCATTTTAATTTTATTTTAATTATTTTAATGGACACATTTATTCAAGTTTGGTACTCTAAAAACTCACCCGGGTGGAAATACATAAATGTTACAAAAATATACATAAATAAATGGAGACTATATAACAGAGGTGAATGGAAAATGATGAAGGTGCCGGAAATCGCAATCCCGATTCACCTCTGCTATATAGTACATATGTACATCCATGTTTTGTATAAACCGAAATTTTCCTTAACTCAAGTCCAAACCATAACATTAAAAAGTTACACTAAAATTCCAGACCAAAATAAATGTGTGTACTAAACTATTTTAATTTCTCTTTAAAAGCAAGATCTTATTTTGTTAAAAGTTGTACTAAAGTTAACTATTAAAAAATTATATACAAATTATTTAAAATAAAAATTTTGTTATTATTTTTTTTTCAGAATTTTTACTAAACAAAATTTTAAACCTTAATTAATTGAAAACGGCTTTTAGTATTTCTTTACCATTTTTAATATCAAAATTAATTTTCCCACGAAAATATTTTTATTTAAAAGAATTAAAAGTAAAATAAAATTAAATTTGTAAATTAATATGTACAAATAGCTTCTTTTTGAAATTTACTTTTAATTAAAATATTAATTAAAAGATTATTTTTACGCAGTTTAATCCAAGTATTTTTAACATTAAAACAATTAGCTCTAACTTTTTTAATATTACATTTATGATAATTCCAACATTTACTTTCTGATTTGTCTACTAAAACTTTCATTCCCTTTTAAAAGATTTAGTAAATTTAAAATTAAAATAAAAATACTTGAGAATTAAATCCCAAACATTTATTTAGTTCAACAGT